AACAGAGATGTCTGGTTAAACCAAGTCTACCTCTATTACAGTCCAGTTTGACAATTCTAGGATTTGATCATGTTAAGGAAATCACGAATTACCAAAATGGTCTGAAATCTAGAATTAGGTCTAGTTATAGTTATTTTGTTCTTTCTGGGTATAGCTCATAACTGAGTTCTGCTTCCTTGAATCAACGAATGAACACATACACACATATACCCCCCCACACACACACAAACACACACCATACACACATAAATATCCCCTGGAGGGTAGGTTAAATTATATGCCCAGTAAAGAATTGAGGAATGTGCCTTCAAACATACGGCAGCTATTTAAGAGAAAAGCAAGGTGGGGAAAAAGAGATGTTGGCATTTTTACCCTAATATTAAGAAAAGTAATCTTTTGGTAAAAGAAAACAGAAACATCATCAAACTTACACTTAAAAAAAATACAAGTTTAGCTACTGCCTGTAATCTCAGTGGCTGGGCAGGCTGAGGCAGGAGGATCAAAAGTTCAAAGCCAGCCTCAGCAATGGTGAGACACTAGGCAACTCAGTGAGACCCTCTCTCTAAATAAAATACAAAATATCCCTGGGGTATGGCTCAGTGGTCGAATGCTCTAGAGTTCAATCCTGGGTACCCACCCCCAAAATTCAAGTTTAATACAAAATATTAAAATACTGTTTTGCATTTCTGTGATTATAAAAGTAATTTATGCTCACTAAAGAAAGGGAAAATCATCCATAACACCACCAAGTATAAATAATCACTATAAATATTTTGGTGTATATCTCTTCAAAAGTTTAACACATATACACACCTGAATACATTTTATAAATATATTTTAGAAAATTAAATTAATTAGTTTAATTCTGGGTACCCTGAGCTTAAAAAAAAAATCTAGCTGGGCACAGTGGTGCACACCTGTAATCCCAGCAGCTTGGGAGGCTGAGGCAGGAAGATTGAGAGTTCAAAGCCAGCCTCAGCAAAAGTGAGGTACTAAGAACTCAGTGAGACCCTGTCTCTAAATAAATACAAAATAGGGCTGGGGGTGTGGATCAGTGGTTGAGTGCCTTCGAGTTCAATCCCTGGTACAATAAATAAATAAATAAATAAATAAATAAATAAATAAATAAATAAATAAAAAAAAAATCTAGCCATTCAAAAGAAATAAAAAGAGTCTTAACCCTCTAAAATTGCAGTATGTAAAAAATGCTATTTTATAGCCAGTTTGTTAACATAAGGTATTACAAGTATTATTCTACTGTAACAGAAAGCAAATTATCATTTTCAGTATCTAATAATTTGGTGAATAGTAAACCTCTAGTGTTTTTTGAGCTGTATTGTTCTTCCTTCCATGTAAATACTGAACACCACTATTATAATTAAACTAAACACATTGCTCCTAGATTTCCCTATTGTAAATAATTGCTGTGGAAAAACAGACATCAAGCATCTTGCTTAATTGGAGGGCACAACATGCACATTTTAGAGTTTGCTATGCAATGCCAACCTGCCCTCTAGAAAGTGTACCTGTTTACAATTCTATCAACAGTGTAATGAAGCACTTACTTCCCCATACCCTTGCCTGTCTAGGTTCACTACTATTAATAGTAAAAAGCTTTAGGATCAATTAGAATAGAGAGGTATTTAGCTTAGGTTAAGAAGAAGTATTTTAGGAAAACAAAGCAAACAATGATAACAAAGGTTGAAGAGGAAAATTTCAGGCTGGTTTCTAAATTTTTTCTGCTCACTCCTCCTCACTGTTTGTTTCATTTCTTAGTCATCACATATGGTGAGAAGAAAAAGGAAAATGAATGTATGATGACAAGAAACCTCCAACAGTGTCCCTCTGTTGTGACTGATGACACCAAATACCAGAGCCCCTTAGATCCACCAGAGCACCATACTCTACTGAGTACAGTTCACAGAAATGGAAAACAACCAAGACTCCAATGTTTTACCTCCAAAATGATAACTAAACTGAAATGTTCTGTCTTCTGTGGTCATCAACCAGTTTTCATAAAAATCAGTATCTGTGATGATTTAGTATAATCAAAACTTTGGACTTCTTCAACTTTAAACATCAAATATAACCATGACAGAAAAAAGCACCCCTCAGAGGAAACAATCTACCTAACAGTATTCTAAAGCAGAGGCTCAGTCAGCTTTAAAGTTAGCTAAATTTACATCTGAGGTAGAGAGTTGATTCTTCACAAAAAAAATCAGGCAAAAAAATTTGCCTTTGGTGTTCTTTACTTTAACCTATCAGAGCGGCCCTAGGATAGAGTAATAACAACCAACGAAAGGACAGTTTAAAAAAACCAAACCAAACCAAACCATTATTTAGAGATCCTTCAAGTGTCCATAGAAAGGTCTATAAACCCAACAATCAAAAATACAATTTAGCTTCATTTTTATAAAATGTGGTATTACTTCAGAGTTGCTGTTTCAAACCTAAGGAAGCAAAGTGTCATTTTGTGAGCAACACCATCAGTGTCTGTACTGAATGTACACTTCTACTCAGGGGTCTCACCATACAGTTACCTGTCACTGCACTGAATACATTTTTGCTCTGATCCTTAGGTTATTTACTAAACAGATACTAGTGTTTAGATGGTGTGTTATTTAAGGTGCTGGGCAGCTGTAATAAAGAGCAATAAAGAACAAGAACTTTAAGTCCTCACTCTCAAATTTTAGCTGGAGAGACAGACCATAAACTAGTGTGAAAATTCATGAATAAGATATTTTGGGCAGTTCAAGTGCTACCAAGACAACACTACCAGGAATGTATTTGCCAGTGACTTGGAGGGAGGGAGGGAGGGAGGGAGGGAGGGAGGAGAAACTTTGATTATATTGGATAATCAAGGAATGTTGTCTCAGGGATTTGCATAAGGAAAAGTCAATCCTGCAGTGATCTAGGAGGACAATGCTTCAGGCAAAGGGAGTAGCAAAAGCAAAATTATGGCTGCAGGCTTGACTGAGGGGATAAGGACAATTTGGAAGAGGTAAGATTAAAAAGGGCCTTCAAACCTTTGAATTTGATTCTAGGAACAGTGGAAAGCCACTAAAGGACTGAAACAAGTAAGTTTAAAAATAAAATCTCTATGTTGGCTACATGAGAATGAATTGCAGAACAAAGGTAGCAATAGGGAAGATCAGTGACAACTGAAAAAGCTGACATGAGGGATGCTAACGGCTTGGCCTGGGTGCAGATGGGAATTGAGAAAAACAATCAGATTTGGGATGTGATTCAGAAATGAACTGGGCTGGCATGGTGATACATGCCTGAAATTCTAGCAGCTTGGGAGGCTAAGGCAAGAGGATCACATATTTGAGGCCAGCTTCAGCAATTTAGCAAGGCCCTAACCAACTTAGTGAGATCCTGCCTTAAAATAAAAATTAAAAAAAACTGGGGATGTAGCTCAGTGATAAAGAACCTCTGGGTTCAATCTGTAATACAAAAAAAAAAAAAAAGTGAATTGACATTTACCAATAAATTAATGGGGGTAGGTGTAGAAAGTAGAACAGGAAAATAAGGATTATTCTTTTTTTTATTTTTAATAAATGGACACACAATATCTTTATTTGTTTATTTTAATATGGTGCTGAGGATTGAACCTGTTGCCTCACATGTGTTTTACCACCTCAGCTCAAAGGATTATTCTTACCCTGGGACTTTTACAATCAGATGGATGGTGGTGTCATTAACTGATAGAGGTAACATAGGGAAGGAACAGGTTCAGAGTGGAGAGTGAGGGCAACCAAAGGTCCTGTTCTGAGCATGTTAGGTACTAGACATTTCAGTGATCATAAACTAGAGTATACACAGGCCTTAGCTCTGGGACACAAAAACAGTGATCAGGAGAGAAAAGGAGAAGAGCCAGCAAAAGAGCTGGTAGGTAGCAGCCAGTGAGGCAGGAGGATATTCAGGAGAGTGAGGAGTCACAGAGACTGAGAGAAGCAGCTACTTAAGAAGGAAGGTGAAATCAACTCAGTTAAATACTGCTGGAGACTCAGTCAAGGGAAGAAAACTAAAGACTAGATTTAGCAAGACAGAAATAAATTAATAAAGAAATAAACTGGAAAATGTTATAAAAAATGTTGATCTTAACCTATCACTTTTAAAACTAGAAAACCACAAAAGGGATAGCCTTCGACAAAGTTATGAGGTATACTGATGTCTCAGAGGAAGAGGGAAAGAATGAATGAGTCAAGTAGGTGTCCTTCCGAGTTTTGTGGGTTTTTTTGTTTGTTTTTGGCAATATTGTTTATTTTAATATGGTATTGAGGATTGAACCGCAATCCTTAGGGTTTGAAACAAAGGCCTCAAGTGTTCTACCACTAAACTGAACTACATCTCTAGCCCTTTCCATTTTGAGACAGGATCTCCCTAAGTTACCCAGGCTGGCCTTAAACTTTACAATTCTCCTGCCTCAGCCTCCTGAGTAGCTGGGATTACAAGTGTATGACACTCTGCCTGGAAGCTTTGTGTTCTTATTCTCTGGGGAAGGGAGCTTTACTTGGCAATAATGTGGTGGTATTCAGAATTTTCACGGAAAGAAACTCAGCTTGAGACTAAACTTGTCCCAACTGATTGTGATCACACTCTGAACAATCTCACATTCACCTGTTCAAACCAACTCCAAGCTAAGTTTTCTTTTTTTTTGTGTGTGTGTGTGTGTGTGTGTGGTGCTGGGGATTGAACCCAGGGCCTTGTGCATGTGAGGCAAGCACTCTACCAACTGGGCTATATCCCCAGCCCCAAGCTAAGTTTCTTTATCAACCTAAAGGTCCCAATGAAAGGAGAGAACTGCCAACAAAAGGAGGAGAACACATGATGCCCTTGTTTGGGAGCATACTTCTGGCACTACCATGTCTTCTCCAAGGCTGATACTGCCTCACCATCACACTCCAGTCTCTGAATCACCAAGGAAAAGTGATCAGAGGCCCGCCCACATGAGTGCCTCTTGCCTTTGCATCTCCTCTTCACTTCCCGCCCCTTACCTGGGTCATTTTGTCCACAGAGACTGGGATCCCATCGATGGTGAGAGGTGGCAGTTCTGAATTAACCTCCTGTGGTGCAGGGGCGTGTTCTGCCAGAGCAGACTCCAAGTCTTCCAGGATCATGCTCTTGTACTTTCGCACCTGTAGGGAATTAACAGCAGAAGTAAACAAGATGCCCAACAACCACAGAGGACTTGTGCCAAGCAACAAGCAAGTGGGTGAGGCAGACTTCCCCAAGCTACTTCAGAGCCCTAGAAACAAACACGCCTACAACTAGCAGGTAAAAATACTCGCTGGCCCCAAAGACATCATACTAAACAGAATTAAATGAAAAGATGATGAAATTACAGGTAACAACAGTGGAAAGGAACCAGTGGGAAAAGTTTTACAAAAAGACTACTTCTCAGAAAAAAATTATGTTTTTGCAGTCAACACAGGCCCATCACCTGTTCCAGATCTAACAGGAATAGTATTCATTATTCTGCATTTCTCAGGCCAGTTGATAAACACCTACCTGTAGTAGTTAATTACAAAATCACTTTCAAGATCTTTGAAGACTTATGTTTCTAAAACTCTTAAGTAACCTGCTAAGAAACTGCTGCTATTTTCCTGCAAAACCAGATTACCAAACAGGAGACTCAAGGGCACAAGAGGTCGAACTGAAGAGAATCAGGAAACAAACAAACAAACAAACAAAAAACAGAGGCATATATTATAGCAGAGTGTCAAAAATGCCATTACCAATAAAGCTTAGGACTAGAGAGAGCCCCAGTGGTCAAACCCTCCTCCCTTTTGTTACTCTGTTTTATACTGGTGAGCAAGGTGAACTTCAAAACCATCTAGCTCTAGCCTCAGTTTGAATTAACATTGGTCTTTGACTCCATTTCTCACCATTGCCAATGAAACATCTCTCAAAGGACAGAGAACCCTGCAACAGCACAATGTACAAACATGTACACCAGCAGAAGGGGAGACAGACACTGGATCCTACAACCACCAGTGATTGGTTCATTCACTTAGAAGAATACCCAGGGGACTGGCTGGGGGACAACTCTGGGGATAACAAAGAAGCAAAGGAATTGTGAAATGTGACAAGGTGGGAGACAAAATGAACTTGCTTTCAAGCCTCAAGATATTATCTTAGGATATAAAATAAAGAGAAAATGAGATTTTCCCAGAAGTTCTGATAATGTTTCAATCCTTGGTTTTTTGCTAAGTAAACAGGACTCTGAGTCAGGATATACTTCCCTATTGATACCTCATTATGAGGATTAAAAAAGAAAGATTTCCATACTCTATCCCAAGTACCTGGAAAAGTAAATATTATTGGCTGTGTGATCCATAATATAAGCACTACATATGTTGTCTCAATCCTTCTGGAGTTAAAGGATCCTTCAAATAGGTCTATAACTAAGAGGATGAAAGAAAAATTTACTTTAGTAAGTTTTCTTACTTTAGTCATTGTTGTCTGTGTTTTTTCGTGCAATATTGTTTTCTGTGCCATCAATAGCATGGATGTTACTGTATTTCTTTAAAAGTTCTCTAAGATTATCTCAGATTTTCTTTTCCCAAGTCACCACAAGTAAGAGTCAGGTACTTCTTGATCTTTGCAGAAATTGTCATTGGGAAGGTTATCATATCACAATCAAGACTCACATTCCTTTCTCAGATGGAACTAAATGATTTGCTGACTAAAAAGGTAAGGTGTTGCAGTATGTGACCAGATATAACAATCATGTATGTGCAGGAGTGACAACTGTGCCTCCATATTGCCTGGGCCACAGCAATATTAAGATGTATCCCAATATCAGAGGACAGATAACTCAGGACACTGAACAATGTAATAACTAACTGGTTTTACAATTACAATTAAAAAACACTTAAAATCAAAATCAGGTACCAATCTTTCTTTCTCCAATTCATCTTATATACTAATGATATTTAAAATTTCCTAAACATGTATCATCATAAAATACCATCTACTGAACACTTACTAAGCACTACATATGTTGTCTCAATCCTCACAATAATTCTGGAAAGAAAATAGTATTATGTCCACTTTAAAGATAATAAAATTGAGGCTTAATAAAATAACTTTCTCCATATCATGCAATCATAAGGAGTATTGTTGGAAATCAAACTGTTTATCTAGCTCTAATACCTGAATATTCAGCTACTTTACTATCAATTATCTTTTTTCTCAAAAAAACTCCCACAAGTCCCTGCTTCTTATAGGATGAAGTTTAAGCTTCTCAGTCCAGTACTTCAACTTTTTCAGACATTTTCTGCTTTTCCAGTACTTACTTTGCCACCAAATTCACCTGCACAGACTATGTGAATAGCATTCCTTAGTTCCCAGTACAATAGTCCCCCTTATCTATGGTTTCAGTTCCTACAGTCAAATATGCTCTAAAATATTACTATTTCTCTTGATTCTTTCAAGAAAGAAAGATCATATTCACATAACTTTTATGACAATATATTGTTAAAATTCTGATTTTTATCACTGGTGTTAAACTCTTATTATGCCTAATTATTTATTTATTAATTTTTAAAAAAAGTTGTAGATGGACACAATATCTTTTTATTTATTTATATGTGGTGCTGAGGATTAAACCCAATGTCTCACGTGTGCAAGGCAAGCGCTCTACTATTGAGTCACAACCCCAACCCTTACTGTGCCTAATTTATAAATTAAACTTTATCATAGGTATATATATATATATAGGAAAAGACATAGTATACACAGTGTTTAATACTACCTGTGGTTCAGGCATCCACTGGGGATCTCAGGGTGGATCCTCCACCCCATAGACAACTGGGGCCTGTTGTATACAACCCACTTTCCTTTTCCCACTTTAGCTGGCCAGTCTCCTCATTAATCTTTTTACATCTAGCAAGTTCTTACCTTTGGGTCTTTAATTATGCTTCTTATTCAACTATTACCCATCTTCAAGGCCTAACTCCATTCCCATGTTCTCTGAAAAGCATTCCAATTATGGCAGTGTTACTGCCATAACTCTTCCTCCTTTAAATTTCCATAGTTTAAATAATCATGTGTCGCTTATAATGTTGTTTCCAGAATATCCTATATACAACGAGTGCATGATTTTATTAAGCCCAGAGACTAGGTCTTTTGCATATTTTTAACATAAAATATTATTACTTTTTAACATTTTTAAAGGTTATATAACAACAACATCAACATCTCTAGCAACATGTTTCATGTAGTTAGACACACAGTTCTGGGCACAGCATGTGCTTATTGAAACAGACCCAGAAAAGACATCAAAATTCTTTTGTATTTCTGAAGCTTTTCTGGATACAAGAGGAGTCTTGAAGAAGTCATATATATTTTATAAAAACTTTATCTACAAACTCCCATAACATTAAAAATACATTGTCATTGGGGGTATAAAACTAAGAGCTGCCCTACTACAAAGATGCCCTCAAACTAGTGATTCTGAGCATACCTGGTCTTGAGCCAGGACTGGGTTGTGTCCATGAATTTATGCCAGCTTCATCCTGTTCTCCTTCTAGCCCCAGTGACAGACTCCTTTCCTCCCCTGCTTCAGTCCTTCCCTCTAGTTTCTCCCTAGACCTGAGGGTTCCTAGTTTTGAACCTGGAAACTTCAAAGGATTTAGATGGACTCCTTATCTCATACTTTGTACCTAACAGTGTTAAACAGTTATTTGTTGAATAAGTAAGTACATGAGCAATGGGATTTTATTACTTTTTAAATGCTTCTACATTTTATGTAAATGAAAACATTTTTAAAGGTTATATAACAACAACATCAACATCTCTAGCAATTAGAGAAACGCAAATTAAAACTACACTGAAATTTCATCTCAATCTAATCAGAATTATCGAGAACAATAAATGTTGGTGTGTATGTGGGGAAAAGGTATAATCATACATTGCTGGTGGGAATTGCAAACTGGTACAACCACTCTGGAAAGCAATATGGAGATTCCTCAGAAAACTTGGAATGGAACCACCATTTGATCCAGTTTTCCTACTCCTTGATATATACCAAAGGACTTAAAATCAGCATACTATAATGATGTGGCCACATCAATGTTTATAGCAGCTCAATTCACAATAGCTAAGCTATGGAACCAACCTAGGTGCGCTTCAACAGATGAATGGATAGAGAAAACGTGGTATATATACACAATGGAATATTACTCAGCCATAAAGTGCTGAATGATTTCTCTGATTTAAGGATGCTGATTCATAATATGCTGGGATGGGGATGAGAAGATTAAATGAACTCTAGAAAGAGGAAAAGAATAGGGAGGGGAAGGGAGGGGGCATAGGAATAGGAAAGACAGTGGAATGCAATGGTCATAATTACCCTAAGTACATGTATGAAGACATGAATGATGCGACTCTACTTCGTATACAACCAGAGATATAAAAAATCGTGCTCTATATGTATCATATGAATTGCAATGCATTCTGTTGTCATATATAACAAATTAAAATTTTTAAAAAATTTAAAAAAATAATGAAAGTATGGCATTTGCCAGTAAATGTATAGAACTGGAGACTATCATACTACAAGTGAAACAAGCCACTCTCCAAAAACTAAAGGCTGAGTGTTCTCTCTAATATGTGGATGCTAACACACAATGGAGGGCGGGTAGGGAAAAACAGAAGTTCATTGGATTAGACGAAGGGGAATGAGGGGAAGGAAGGGGGGATGGAAATAGAAAAGAATAAAATGACTCAGACATAACTTGCTTATGTTCTTATATGAATATATGACCAGTGTAACTCCACATCATGTACAACTGCCATTATGGAAGTTATACTTCATATATGAGTAACATGTCAAGATACATTCTATTGTCATGTATAACTAAAAAGAACAAATTAGAACAATTATAAAAACAAAACTCAGCTAAAAGTGGCATTTGGGGTACTTTATCTTGCCAACCTGCCCTCTAAAAAATTATAACAATGTAAAATGTTTGACATGACAGTACTGTAGGTTAAACATCTTTTCTATGTTTGGTAACATGAATCAAGCAAGACGGCTTTTTGTTTTAATTCACATTTCTTTGAAATTTTATGTCTAGTCATTTGTATTTTCCCTTTTGGTTCAGGCCCTTTTTCCTTTTATCTTTGCCTT